GTATAAAATTATATACAGTCGTATAAAATTAGGCACTGGCTCCTGCCTATAATCCCAGCACTTTGGGAGGCCAAGGTGGGAGGACTGATTGAGCCTAGGAGTTCAAGACAAGCCTGGGCAACATCGTGAGACCTCGTCTCTACAACAAATAAAAAAAGTAGTCGGGCATGGTGGCACATGCCTGTAGTCCCAGCTACTCGGGAGGCTAAGGCAGAAGGATCGCCTGAGCCCAGGAGACCAAGGCTGTAGTGAGCTGTGACCATACAACTGTACTCCAGCCTGGGCAACAGAGAAAAAAATAAGTTGTCTAAAATTATCATGGCCGAAGAAGCCATTTAATATCAATGAAGAATTTTGGAGAGACCTCCACTCTCAACAACCCAGCCCTGTTTCTCAAAGGAGCTTATTGAAGTGAAGAGCTCAGCACACAACCTGGCACATATATGGGCTGTCAGTGCTAGTTCTCAATAAGCAGCTCCCAGCCTGGGGCCTCAACACCTAGTGTGGGTAGGCACTTGGTGAACAGAGGTTGTGAATGAACTCGATCTGAGGGTCCAGGTCTCATTCTTGTGTATCCTCCCTCGTCCCCCAACTGGAGCCCAGTCTAAGCTGTTTGGGCAAAGATGGGTGTAAGGGCTGCATTCTCTCAGTTCACAGGAGCTCTGGCCTTGCAAACCTCCCCTGTGTAAACTCGTGCTGGCTATTGGGACAAGCTGGTCCCAGGGGGCATAGCTGGTGACCTTGAAAGGGCCACCATAAATTTTAATGTGAGAAGGGAAGGTGTGTGGTAGCCAGGAGCAGAGCAGGGAAAGCAGTGGCAGAGAGAACCAAGTCCCATGGAGAGACCTAGAACCACGAAGCTAAAGGTCAGAACAGCAAGGAAGCAGAGACAACCTGTGCCTTGCAGCTCAAACAGCGGTCCCTGGACAGCAGCACTGGCATCTCCTGAGATCTTGTCGGAAATGCAGAATCTTGGTCCCCACCCCCAGACCTAGTGACTCAGAGCTGCCAGGTGGAGCTTGATCTAATCCAAGGCTTCAATTCTACTTGAACTTGCCGTCGTGGAGCCAGCAGAGGGCAGTGTTGAGGAGCCTGCTGCTAGTGGATGAGAGATCGTGGGAAGAGACTTGCCCTGAGACTTCAGTTCCTATGAGGATGTGAACTGAAGTCCATGTGAGGGACTAGAAGTTTGGGCAAATGCTTGAGTTCACTAATAAGTGAACCCACTAGGTTGTTTTGGTTTTATTGTTGTTTTAGAGACAGGGACTGGCTATGTTGCCCAGGCTGGACTTGAGCTCCTGGACTCCCACCTCGGTTTCCCAAATTTCTGAGATTAGGCTCATGCCACCGTACTCAGCCAGTTCTTTTGTTTTGTTTTGTTTAGAGATGGGGGTCTGACTACGTTCCCCAAGCTGGAGTGCAGTGGCTATTTATAGGTGCGACCATAGCTCACTGCTGCGTTGAACTCCTGGACTCAAACAATCTTCCCGCCTCTGCCTCCCTGGTAGCTGGGACTACAGGCATGCACCACCACACCAGGTTATTCAATTCTGATGTATAGAAACCTAGGAGGGGCTGGGGAAACACATGAGAATCAAGCTGGGTCCCTGCTCTGTAGCTTCCAAATAAGGGAGTTGTCTAGGCATGAGGTATCAGATGTCCTCGAAGTAGACCTGGCTTTGTCAGCTTGTGACCCGTGCAGTCACACAGAGCTCCGTGTTCAGAAGGGCACTGCACTTGGGCTGGCGCTCTGCAGCCACCCTTCTGAAATTCTTAATCGTTTTCTCTTTCAGCTTGTGCTTTTTTTTTTTTTTTTTTTTTTGAGTTGGAGTCTCACTCTGTCACCCAGGCTGGAGTGCAGTGGCCGCTCCCGGCCACCGCAGCCTCGACCTGCTGGGCTCCGACAATCCTTCTGCCTCAGCCTTCCAAGGAGCTGGAACTACAGGCGCGCGCTACCACACCCAGCTAATTTTTGATGTATTGTAGAGATGAGGTCTCGCCAAGTTGCCCGGGCAGGTCTCAAACCTGTGGGCTCAGGCCATTCACTCGCCTTGGCCTCCCAAAGTGCTGGGATTACAGGCTGAGCCACCCAACCCGACCTCAGTTTGTGCTTTTTAGGTGAAGTCCATTGGGCCAAGGAACATGCGCAGGAGAGGAGGCACCACGTCCCTGCGCCTATCCACCACCTCCTGGCAACCTCATTCCTGGTATCTCCGGGCACGGGCATGGCTTCCGGCCGACCCACCCACAGTGGGTGGTAGTTCAGTGAGCCTCAAGGCAAGGGCCAAGGAAGCCTGCTATGGACGCCTCTGATTCCACCCAGCGCTGGGAGAATGCATGTGCGTCAAGACAGAAAATAAAAATGGCTAAGCTAGAATTATGCAGAGTTTTCACTGTTCTAGTAAGAACAAAATACATATGCATGCACGAGCCACAAAATATGAATGGAGTAATTTCAGCAATTCTGCGTGGATTAAATGTTCTTATATTTGCGTTTAAAACTGACCCTGCAAAATATAGACAGTAAGATCTACAATAATTTAAATTTTTAATTTGCCTTTACTTAGAACAGCATCAAATAGTAAATAAAAAATACCACCTCCAGTAGAGAGACTGCAGGAGAAAGGAAAAAGCTTGATATTTTGTACTTTTAAGGGTACTTATATCCTGCATTTTGAACAAGGGGCCCACATTTTCATTTTGCGCTGAGCCCCACAAAGTGTATCCGACACTGCCTTAAGGGATGGGAGAGGCGGGAACGGCTGGTGCCTGTCACCTGGGCTGTCAAAGGTAGGATTTGCCTCGTGTTTCCAGGTAACTAGAACTAATAGGAATGTGGATGTCTGGAGAGGTGTGCTTTTTTGTGATATAAAGTGGCATTTGTTTCCTTCTTACTGCTTAACCCAGAAACGTTTTTTCAATCCCTGCGTGTGTATCCACGCATGCATCTCCCTGGGAAAACTTCCTCTTCCACTGAGAAAAGCAAGGGGAAAGAGAGAGGCCCAGATGGTCAACTGAAGGTGTAGCTGTCCGGGGTGACGTTGGACTGGGACTGCAGCTGGGCTGAGGGGATGTGTCTTGGAGATCCCAGACTGTCTTGTGGTAACAGACAAACCCAAACTATTTCATCCATTTGTACAAGCCCTGCAGAGCTGGCAGCTGCCTTCCAAACCATGGCTGGGCCAGGCTCCACTTCCCAGAGTCCCTCACTCCTGCCACATCCATTCCACACACCCCCTATCACATGACCCTAGCTAAATGCAAGAGGAGCTGGAAAGAGGAGTTTTTCTACTGACGCAGGGGAAACGAGAGGGTTTGGTGAACACACAGCATCATCTTGGCCACAGAGGAGATGGGATGGGGAGGGGAGGGTTGTGGGTGGGGGAGGATGGTCTGGTTTAGAGAGAAAGTGGCCTGGGGTGGGTGGTTCCCTGAAGGGGGCACAACCCTGTAGTGACCCTCTAGCACCAGGCCCATGAGGAGACTTTTAGAGGAGGAAGCATAAAGCAAACATTCCAGATGTTTTGTCCGAGAGGAGCCTAGCGGCTCCTCCCACATATAATAGGAGACCCTAGTGAAAACACTGTGTTTTGTTGGACCCCAAGACACAAGAGCAAGCTCAACTCCTCACGAAAAGTTTGGTGTAGGGTCAGGGGTTGGGGGGACTTCTTAAGTGGCAAAACTGCATACTCAGTTCTGGGGGGAGCAAGTCTGACGCCATGTTCTCAGGAGGCTTAAGGAGTGTGGTCCCCAGGGGGCAAAAACAAGGCAGGCCACTGGAAAGGAAGTTACTAATAAAACTTGGCAGGGGAGGGGGTCGTAAAGAGCTGGAACCCCAGGAGGCTTGGCATGGGAGCAAGGGTCAGAGGCCGCACAGATTAGCTCATCAGCAGGAGCCTATGACCCCAGGCTCTTCCTCTGTGTCTCTGTATTCCAGTTTGTCCAGGATGGTGGAGCAGGCACTGTCTGGCAGATCTGGGACAACTTCAGGAATCCACTTTGACAATCCTATCAAGTGTTTATGTAAACAAATAAGAAAACATTTGTAGAGTGCTGTCCCAATTTTTGGTGGGAAAATGCATGTATATCTAAATCTGTGTGTTAGAAAACAAGCAGGGGATGTAACATTATAGTCATATATTTTACATTACATTTCAAATATTTTAGATTATATTTCAAATTTTATTTTTTGAATTTACCTTAGTTATATATTTCACCTTAGGACAAATATAACTATTTTACATAATTATCAAACAATAGTACATCAAAATTAACTTAAAACACAAAATTAAAATAAACCACATAAACCTGACTATATAATGCTATATAATGTATTTTCACTAATACTTCAAGTACTTTAAAAAAGAAAAACTAAGTTTTGACTGTATATTCCTGCTGGAAAAACTAAGTTTTGACAGTATATTCCTGCTGAAATACATCCATACAAAATATAAGGATCTTAATTTTATTCATAATTATATTTCTCATAAAATATTGATAACTTTTTAAAATTAAAAAGTAAATAGATAACTGGGAGAATAGGTGTGACCAAAAGAGAAAAAAATGGAAAAGAAAATAATTTAAATAAAAATTTCATAATTTTAATTTGTTTGGAAGAATGAACATTAACTTGATCTGTGTTTTATTTGAACCATACACACACACACACACACACACACACACACACACACACACATACACACACACACACACACACACATATAATCTCTTTCCATTAACAGATCTACACATGATAGACCTCTCTGAGTAATTACTCAGGCTGTGTGTTCCAAATGCAATTTATCATTTAAAGAATATAAGTTTCTTTTTTTTAATTGCCAATTTCAGGTCTAGGACAGGAAATGTTCAAGATAGAACATTGATTCCATCCAGGGACAGTCGTATTTTTTAAAAGTTAATCTGAAAGTCCTCGTTGATGCTCCAGCAACACGCCTTCCCCATGCCACATGGCCGCTGCCGAAGGCAGGATCCTCTGGTCTTCAGACAAGCAGGAGGCCAGCAATGGTGGGCACCATCGCCAATAACCAACTTGCAATCCAGTCTGCTCCAGTGGATCGGGCTGAAAGATCAAGAAAACCCGAAGTGCTTGGGTGCCTTGATTAACTTGGAGAGGAGGGGCAGATGTCCTGTACATCGGCATCGGAGCCTGCAGAGCACGGGAGTGACTTTCCTCCCTGAATCCAATCCCAGAATGCCTGGGGCATCCTCTTCCTTGCAAGAGATCAGTCTCCCCAGATATAAAGTGAAAAAAGCATAGGAATCCCCTAAATGTTGCTGGCTTAGCTAGGTCCTGTGCTTGAAGGTTACCTTGGCCTATCCGTGGCCTGGGAAAGAATCACTCCCCTCCCTTGGACATCAGTGAGTAGGGCAGAGCTTCAGGTGTGGACAGATGCCACATGGGCTGACTTGAGGGAGGGAGAGAAAGGTTTCTTCTTTGTTTCTTCACTCTGACAACCATCTGCACCCACTAGGAGGAGGAAGGGAAGGGAGAGGGAGGAAGGGAAAGGAAAGAAGGAGGGAAGGAAAGCAGAGCATCCCTTCGATGGTGCGAGGGAGAAAATCAAAACAGAGGAATGAGTGACACCATAGATTAGGGATGCTTTCTAGGATAATTCGAGTGTCCAAAAAAGTCACAAGATGGGTCTAACCCTTCCAAAAAATGGCCATGTTGATGCTTCCAGTCTCTCTGCAGATGAAAGTCATCCTGTTCCACAAGGAGCAGGGATGGTACCTCTTCCTTTTTCTGGATCTCAGGATGTGGTATTGATATGAAGGTGGTGTTGGAACCTGCCAGCCAAACTGTGGTCTCGTGGTCAGACACCAGACTGTCACATTGGGACTGTGGTGGCGGAAGAGTGGCATGTCAGGAGAGGCTAGAGGAGACGTGGCCAGTTAGGAAGAACAAGGAAGAGTATGGAGGCACCACGGTCCACACGTGGGAGTGGAGGTAAAGACATCAGTGCAGGGAAAGAGGGGAGACCGAGCCCAGGAAGACCACGGAAGAGCAGTGTTTCCACAGGCCAGGATCCCTGGCGCCTGGGTGTGACAGGGATCACAGGTGTGAGTTATTCTGGAAGAATGTGTACAGAAGGCTCGGGACCTGACATCAGCAGTGTGGACAATACACACCCTGGAGTGCTGGAAACAAAGACCCAAGTTTGTCAGAGAGTCTCCAAAGCCCTGATGTCTCCACAGTTGAAGGGACGGAGTCTAATTTACTCCCGTCCATGGAGTACGTGTCAGGCACTGCATTCGGCAGTCTCGTCTCACTGAATCCTTATAACATGAGATGAGAACTGCTATTTTGTCCTTTATTCAGGAAGAGCATGACTTGGGGAGGCTGAGTAACTTGTTTAGCTACTAAGTGAGACTCCCAGGATTGACCCCAGGTGTGACTGACTCTATACCCTATGGCCTTAGCGCCCGGTGTCTGCCTGATTAGAGCCAGGTGTGATGCTCCAGCGAGTAGAGACTCCCAGGAGCCTTCGAGGAAGCTGCCTTCTTTTTTTTTTTTTAGTATTTATTTATTTTTTCTCTTTTAATTTTTATTTTGAAATTGTGGGGTACAATTCAGGGTTAGGTATTCAAGGAGCACAAGGCTGGGAAGGACAGGTTCTGCCTGAGGCCAAGGCTGTCATTCTCCCTCCAGCCTCTCTCAGGCGCGGCCACTTGGCCGGCTACCCGAAACCCCTCCCACCCGCCGTCTCTTCTCCCTGCTCGCCCCGACGTCTCAGACTGCCCTGCAATCACCTTGGCCTAGATCTTAGGGTCGCATTTTGTTAGGGAGGGGAAGGGAAGGGAGCATCCCAGGTCCTCTACCAGACGCCCTATGCAGGTGAGGGCACCGAGCCCCACGCAGGTGAGGTGGGCCGGCGGGGGGGGCGGGGGGGGAGGGCAGAGCCGGCAGCAGAAGCTAGGTCTCCCAGGTGGCTCTGGGATGCTCCACCTCACTCTGAGCCGAGAGGCTGCAACGGATCCCCACGCCTTTCTCCACGCAAAAGCAGACGTGCTGCCCTGTGCCCACTCCCGGGGGATATTTCTTACCCAGGGTACAAGGTAGCGTGAAGTAGACCGTGTCATTCTCGCTGCTCACGGGATTGCTGACCTGGCAAGTGTAGAACGTGGAGTAATTCTGCGGCGTGACGGTGAGGTGAAGCACACTGCCCTGCAGCGCCTGCGGGAAGGGCCCCGAGTCCCCGTACCAAGTGTAGTTCACAGACTGCTCGGGTGTCACGCACGACAGTTTCAGAAAACAGTGGTTTCCTTCCTCCGTCTTCTCAGTTGTCATATTAGGCTTGGGTACGGGGTCTGAAAGCGAGGAGGACTTTATAAGATGAGGCGTTTGTGCCGTGAGGGTTTAGCCAAAAAAGAGCAAAGGGAGCCAGGGAGGGGTCCTGCGTGCCACAGGAGGCGGAGTCATGGAGAAGAGGCCCCTGCAGGGGGCGTCAGTGAGCAGCCTTGACCTCTCTCTGGAGGCCTGGACGGCCGGAGCTGCACCTGGAAGGTGAGTCTAAGCTGGATCCAGGAGGGGGCGCCAGAGTCCACCACATGCGCCAGGAATACCCCGCTTGTGACCACCCGTGAGCCAGAAATGATGGAGAGACTGGTTGGGCTCCGACCGAGTGTCCCAGCTGCCTGAGATTTTCAGGGCCCCGTTCTCTAGCCATGGTCGGCAGCTGGCACCTTGGCCGTTCTGCCCCTCAGGAGTTCTCGGACTCAGATTCAGCAAGAGTCTTGAGGTAAGAGGTACTGGCTTGTGCAAGGCAAAGCCCTTTGCACGAGCTCCCAGGGTAGGTGCCATACTCCTGGGCTCTGGTGGAGCTGCAGAGAACATCATGGAACCCGCAGCACATGTCCGTGGTGGCGAACTGCATCCTTCTGTTAACCCTGGGTATCTCTGAGTCGAGCACAGTGTCTGCCACATAGCAGGGATTCTGTAGGTATAGGATGAATGAGTGAATGACATAGTAATGAGGTAGAAAGGAAAAGACACTAGCTTTGGGGTGAGACCAGGCTGGGTCCCGGGCATGGCTGTAGTAGAGTGACATTAGGCAAGGCAGTTAACCCCCTGCACTCAGCTGTAAAATGGCTGTACCTCGTAACACAGTGTTTATAATATAAAATGGCCCCTGCACATGGTAAGTGCCTTTTGAACAGTGTAAGTATTGTGTACACACTAGCAATCACTTTGCCATCATTACTATGGTCTTGCTGCCAGATGGGATGAGAGGTAATCCCAACATCTGGTCTTTCCTTGGCTAGGGCTAGTTTACATGGAATCTTCTGGGATCTTTTCATTCTAGCCAAGGGCAAACACCTGCAGAATCAGTGCAATCCGGATGCCATAGGATTAAAATGTGGCAGAGAATTTACCAGCTCAGAGCTTGCCTCTGGGTTGTATGTATGGAGAGGCTCTCGAAGCTCTACTAATCTGCCTCCAGAACTCTTTTCTTTCTCTCTCTTTTTTCTTTTTTTGCCAGAGGCTCACTCTGTCTCCCAGGCTGTAGTGCAGTGACAAGATCACGGATTACTGCAGCCTCAACCTGCTGAGTTCAAGGTGATCCTTCCGCCTCAGCCTTCCAAGTAGCTGAAACCATAAGCGTATGACATCATGCCCAGCTAATTTTGTTTTATTTAAAATAAGATCTCACCAAGTTGCCCAGGTTAGTCTCAAACCCCTGGGCTCAGGTTAATCCTCTTGCCTTGGCCTCCCAAAGTGCTGGAATTACAGGCGTGAGCCACCACGCCTGGCCCAGAGCTCTAATTTTATCTCTGCTGTGAAGCCCTCTAAGATTTCTGGATTTCCCCCACACACTTAATTGAGCAATTTTCACTTGGGTATTAACCATTTCCTGTGTTGTAGCCTGGAGTCACACTCCTTCCGCATTTCCCATGGTGGTGAGCACAGCATTGGGCACTTTGTGAATTGGGTGGCTCAGCTCCAAGACACCTCCCACTGAGCTGTGAGAAATGCTCAGGCTGGACCAAAGGACTATTTTTCTGCTAATTGCATCCCGGGCATCTTACCCTCAGGCAGGCTAAGCCAACATGTGGATTTTTAGGCATTCAGACATTTTGCAAGCTTTTGGCAAAACTGTTAGTATACTGAAAGTGACTGTGGTAGAAATATTTATAACTCAATATTTCAAAATTATGAAGTTGGTAAAATAATGCTTTTTTTTTTTTGTCTTGAAGAGCTGGTTAACCAGAGAGACACCGTAAGAGACCCTGACTCATTCCTGTTCCTAGGGCTGCCTACAGTTATAGGCCATGTGACACAGAGGTAGTGAGTGAGGAGAGGATTCTGGCTCGGGACCTGAGTATGTACCACACGCTTTCTATATTTATTTACTTGTTTACTTATTTATTAGATACAAGGTCTCACTACATTGCCCTAGGCCGGACTCAAACTCTTGACCTCAAGCAATCCTCCCACTTCCACCTCCCAACGTTCTGGAATTACAGGTGTGAGCCACCGTGCCCAGCACCAGTACTCTAGTTGCATTGCTCTTGCATTTTAAAACGTTTCCCTCTCATTGTCTACTCTGGTCCTCATCGCATTCTAAACGGTAGATGCCATTTTTCTCATAATATGACGAGAAGCCAAGGCTCCGAGGTAAACACATCTCTTGGCTATCTGTCCCGTCCCTCTCTTCCAGCCACTGCCGACCCCAAGAGCCGTGTTCTGCCTGATAAACGGGCACTTTGATCATAATGTTTAGATCAGGTACACATACGTGAACCAAGCTGGGACAAGCAGTTTTCCTCTCTTTAAATGTCCCTGAGAACTGAAACTCAGAGGAACAAAAAGGTCTAAGCTTTGAGAGATAAGTCATATAAATGGCAGGAGGCCCCAGGCACAGTCCACAGATTCTGAGGTTGGGGACTCTGGCCTGACCCTGGTCCTCCGTCTTCCTTCTCTTCAGTCCTTCTCTACTCTCTTAAACTCCTTGAATTGCCTTTCATAGTCCTAGTTTCTTAAGATAAGTTCTTTTTTTTCTGGGTAAAGTTATATTGAATTGTTTTCTGTGACTTGCTATCAAAAAATCTTACCTAAAGTGGTCATAGAAATGTTAAGCTCATTCTCCAAAGTCACACAGCTAGCAAGCAACTGACCAGTTTTGAACGCAGGTCTGTCTGACTCCAAGCACAACTCCTTAGTCCTTGTTTCATATACACTGGCTAGGTGGGTTGGAGTTATGAGTGGAAATGTTTTACCCCACTCAGCCAGAAAGGTAAAGAGCCCTCCTAATAACTCCTGCTCTGTCCTTTATGTCTTCTATTTTTCCTGAGGTCTAAGTCCAGAGATACAACTAAGATGAGCTCAGAACTGATTTAGGTTGATAACAGGACATAATGAAGGAAACAGAGAGGCATCCGTCTCTGGTTTTCCTTCCCTTCAATCTTAGACACACCAACTTCAGAAGATGTCCCGAGATAATCAGTTGGGGTCTACTGGCCTAGACTCACCCCCAAGTAGAACTGGCTCCTGGAAGAACGAATTGAGCTCGTCCTGAGGTTTTTATCTCCTCCTCCCAGAGAGTGTCCCCGTCCCTGTTCCCTCCGACCCCCGGGAAACCTTCCAGAGGTGCATCCAGGGGCCTTGGAGTGAAGACTTACCCTGTGGCTTCCCTTACTCACCAAGCACTTCCAGTGAGACCTTCGACTTCTCCTCTTGTCTGTCCCTCATCTTCACAATTAAGCGGTAGGTGCTGCTGTCCTCCTTCTGGACATAATAGATGTGCAGGGCACCACTTTGATCAAGTTTCACCCTGCTTTTAAATTTAGAATCAAAGTACTTAGTGCTGTTGGACTCATATTCTACAATCTTCTGGCTGTCAGTGTAAAACCAGGTTAGACGTATGTAGTCATTAGGCAGTCCCTTGAAGACTGGCAGAGTCACGTTGCCATTGGTGACCACGATCAACTTTTGTTCCAGATGACCTGCCAATGAGAGAGAGAGAGACCCGCCTTAAGGAAAGTAGTGCTGCTGAGAGGCCCGGGGGTTCATCTAGTGGAACAGACAAGAGGAAAGGATTTCTGCTTTGGGGCAGTGAGTATGGTCTTGGTCAGAGGTCCTTGGTTTCCTATCGGAAATTCAAGAAAAGCTGGAGCTTAAGAAGTATGCATAGGGGAAGAGGGTGTTGTTTATAAGCTGTGAAGTGCTGTCCCAAGACAATAAGAAAAAGGACACTGAGGCTGGCCCTGGCTCTCTCCCTTACTCTCATACCAGTAGATTTTTAAATAATATGATGTCAAGTCATGTCTCCTCTCTGTTCTTGCATTTCCTGTCTATTTAGTTCAGTAAGCACTATGTTAGTCCCTAGAGGCAAGACATAAACAATACATGATTCTAGTCTAGAAGATTTAATATACCACTGTGGGAGGACAACACACAAACAAATCATTCAAATATAGTATTTTGGTTACTATAATACAGATAACGTTAGGGGCCAAGGATGAGCTTCCCCTTTACTCTCTGAAGGTTTGCCGAAAATCACTGACAAGAGGTAGCTTAATAGGAGAAAGAGAATGCAAACTTAATGTGTACATGGAGTCTTCAGAACGAAGACCCAAAGACACAGGGGAGTTTGTACGTTTTTATGCTGAGGCTCAACAAAGTGTGGATAATCATGAAGAAATATAACTGAACAAAAAGGGGTGATCTAATGCTAATAGACTGAGTGAGGAAACCCAGCAAGGCCTTTCTGTCTAGAGCCTTCTTGGTCTCAGCTGCCTTCCTTCCTTCTGAGAATAGGGCAGGATCCTGTCTGGAATGGGGTTTTAGAACCTACAATCAACAAGGTAATTTCTTTATGGCCAGTTTTTAATACAGAAAGGTGGAGGAAAAGCTAGAATGGTATTTTTAGGTTTTATGGCTGGCTTTGGGAAAAAGGTTTCTATAACCCATCTTGGGAAAGGGGAATTCTAGTTTCTATGGCCAGCTTCAAGGAGAATGGGACTGAGACACAGAAGGGCAGGAGAAGGTCTGAGAAAAGCTTTTACTTCTAAGGCTCTTCTGAGGTCTTCGTTTGAGGGTATTGTTTTCTGAGCCCCAGCAATAAGCACAGTGTATTGTGGGAACAAAGTGGAGAGAGCTATGGGAATATACCCCTAACTAGAGTGTAGGGATCAAAAATGGAAGAAATGCTAAGAAAATCTCTTTGGAGGAGATGACCACTAATGTGAGTCAAAGGATGAGTAAAATGTAATATTTGTTGAAAGCCATCTGTCAGGCACTATTTGAGGCACTTGGGGATACATCAATGAGCTAAGCAGTCAAGATTCCTACCTTAAAGAGGCTTATATTCACATGGGATAAAAATACAGTAAAGCAATGGATGCAATCACTAAACACATGATCTATTATGTAAGAGAGTGATAATTTCCATGGAAAAGGAGAAAGCATATAATAGGGTAAGGGGAGTCATGAGTACTGGTAGAAATAGAGGGTAGACTTCATTTATAAGGTAATAAGTTGGTCATATCTGAGCAAAGACTTGGAGAAGAGAGGTAGCCAAGCAGACTTTTGAGGCAAGAGTGACCCAGACAGAGGGAGGAGCTAGAGCAAAGGCCCTGGGCGGAGTGTGCCCGCCATATGCCTACAACGGCAATGTCCTCTGAGTGGAAGGGGTAGAGGGAGTAAGGGGCACAGGTTTTGAGAGGCACAGTCAGAGAGAGGGTGAGATTGGGAAGAGTGGATAAAGGTATTTTGGCTTTATTGATAATGTTTGACCCTATCAAAAAATTTATCTTTATAAAAATGGCTTATGTCTTGTGTGTGCATTTACAATGTATTTAGCAGCAAGTCATTAGAAGGTAAGGAAACAGAAACTATTTGTATAAACTATTATCTGACAAAGTTTGGATCAGAGGCAGATGTCCTATGAAAGTGATAAAGTAGCTGGGCTTGGTGGCTCAGCCTGTAATCCCGCGCCTTTTGGAGGCTGAGGTGAATGGATTGCCTGAGCCCGCGGGTTCGAGACCCGCCTGGGCAGCGAGACCTCATCTCTACAGTAAATCAAAAAATCAGCTAGGCGTGGTAGCACATGCCTGTAATTCCGGCTACTTGGAAGGCTGAGGCAGAAGGATCGCCGAAGCCCAGCAGGTCGAGGCTGCGGTGGCCGAGAACAGCCACTGCATTCCAGTCTGGGCGACAGAAAGACTCCAACTCAAAAAACAAAAAACAAAAAAACAAGGTGATAAAGTTACAGCTGGAGGGGCCCTTGGGAGGGGCCCTAGCTTTGTATCATATACTGATCTGTTTTACGAAGCACAATGTCTCTTTCAACACAAATAATTAGACCACTGTCTCTGTCCACTCTAACGTTCCTACATCACTTCATCCTGCTTCTGCTTCTGTTGGGCGGTGTCTCAGTTGTGGGCATCTTGGGACCTGGCTAAGGGGAACTGGAAAGGGGGGATATTTAGTTGAGGTTAGTGAAATGAACAGGTCCACAGACTCGTGTGTGAAGTCCTTGCTAGCCACTTCGGTCAGAAAATGACATCCAGGAACACTGCTGCTATCCTCTGCCCCAGCTCACTGGCCACACCCATGGGCTTGCTGCAGTGACACTGTCAGTGGGAGGCAGAGGAGAAACTAGGTTTGAAGTGAACGGGAACCAGAGCTATTCAGTGGCATAGTGTTACAGAAATGTGAGGGCATTTAATTAACTAAAAATGTTATACTGTTTCCTCTGGCTTTCAGGATTTATGTCAAAAGTGTCCAACCTTTTGGCTTCCCTGGACCACATTGAGTAAAGAAGAATTGTCTTGAGCCACACATAAGTTATTTACTATAGTTAGTGTATACACATAAGACTTCTTTTTTTATATTTTTGTTATAAAGTTTAGAAAAATGAGAACAATATAAAACTAATGGGAAATTTGACCTTGTTTTTGTAAAATTAACTTCTCAATGTCTGGTTTGATGGAAGTGGTTGCAATTCTTAGTGAGTTCCCAAGGTACTTTTCAGAAATGTTTGTTCAAATTTTGCTCTTCGTGGGCTTCATAACTGAAAACAGCTGCTCACAAATGTATGTGCTACCAAAAACTGATGTCACAAACAAGATGTGACTGTGAACTTCAAAAATGGAATTACACATGGGGTCACAAAGAAAATAAACACTAAGAAACACATGATGCTAAAAGATTTTTTGGGGCCACATTGCCAGCTGCCCTTGGCAGCACGCAGCCTATGGGCTGCAAATTGGACATGCCTGATATATGTAGTATTTGTAGTTTTAAAATGTGTACTGAAGATGGCCGACATGAGACAGCTAGAGTGAGTTTCTCCTACAGAGTAAACCAAGACAGAGAGAGTTTCCTCAGCATGCAGAGAGGAATGGATCCAGCATCACACCCCACAAGTCTCCAAAGGAGTGATAATAACCACTTAGAGCAAAGAATAATTTTAAAAAATGTGCCAACCCAAGCTGGAACTGGCCAGACTCTTGACTGTACCACCACAGTCCACCACAGCCTCCGACACAGTGGGGAAGGTGAGTGAGGGGTATTCAGGAGTTCTGAGCTCCTGCCATGAATCTGCAGGGCTCCCTGAGCCTTGTGAGACTCCAGTCCCTCATAGAAAACTGCCTTCTCCAAGCTGTGCTTGGCTATGGGGTGGTGCAGGAAAAGAGCTTTGAGCAACACTAGCCACCATTTCCCAGGAACTCGGCCCTTGAAGGGTGGAGTAGCTACTTTCTAGCCAGCCTGCAGACTCCACAGTGGCAGATAGTTCCTGGCTCGGTGGATTCCCTAAGAATACCTGAAGCCCTGAGGCCAGTTGCACCTGGACCCTCAGATCAAAGGGTTGCCTGAGGCCAAGGCAGGAGCCGGGTAGGACACATTGCCGTAGCAATCTCTCACTCCCCTTGTGGACTCTTCTGGGCCTGCTCTGCACAACAGTATTACCCCAGTGGCCTGGGACTCTCTCCTAATCCTTACTGGGGCAGCTAAGAGTGCACTCTTGCGGGGTGCTTCAGCTCTAGCCCTGCACTAACCCTGAAGGCTCAAAACAGACAGAGAACTTGGGAAATCCCCAGAGCCTGCCCTTGGCCTAGGCTGGCTAAACTCTTCCTTAGAGCAACACTCACCAAGGAGAAACCCTACAGCCATGATGGTAGCTGGCTTTCTCCCACAAGCGCCACCTCTTGGCTGGAGATCATCAGTACAGTCAACCACAGCAGATACAACACCTCAACTTTGGGGAAGGCCTGATCCCAAGAGCCAACTAACAACACTTTCAAGTCACTCTGGCCACTGAGGACACCGTGAGCCACTGCAGGTACACAGCACAGGGCTGCCACATCTGGAAACTGAGAAATTCATCACACCCAGGCTATATAACCAAGGGACCCTATGTCAGCCCCCTGCCAACTTCAAATAAGAAGAAATCATCTACCCAAATGAGAAGAAACCAGAAAAATAATTCTGACAATATGAAAAAACAGAGTTTTCCAACACCCCCAAAAGACCACACCAACTCTTCAGCAACAAACCCTAACCAAAATGAAATATTTGTAATTCTAGACATAGAATTCAAAGTGTTGATGATAAAATTGGTCAAGAACTTCAGGAAAAAGTTGAAGACCAGCATAAAGAAATTTTTAAAAACTATTCAGGACATGGATGAAGAATTCTCCAAAGAGATAGACACCTTAAAAAAAACCAAGCTGAAATTCTGGAAGTGAAATAAGCATTTAAGGAAGTCTAAAATGCAGTGGAACATTTTGACTGTAGACTAGAATGAGCAGAAGAAAGGATCTCAGAACTTGAAGACAAAGCTTTTGAATTAAACAAATAAGAAAGCAATAAAGAAAAAATAATCAAAAAATAGAAAAAAGTCTCCAAGAAATGTGGGATTATGTAAAACATCCAAACCTAAGAATCATAAGTGTTCCTGAGGAAGAAGAAAAAGCAACAGGTTTGGAAAACCTATCTG